TTCAGATATATAGAAAACTGCCATTTAAGAGATGAACTAAAATCTTACAAAGATTCCATTTTCTTAAAGATCATACTCTGCTGGCTAATGTCAGAACTAAAACCAGAATCAGATTCTGCATCCTATGCTCTAGTTTGATCATTTAAAAAGAATCATCAATATGTAACTATTTCAAACCAGCTGTTACTTGGACTGAGAAACTGTACTGGAAAAACACACACTTTAGGAGGTACTTCTTTTTTTATTTTTAATTAAGTTTGTGGTGTAGGAACATACAGTTTAAATAGAATGTCAACTATTAGAGATGAAGAAGGGGATGGGGCGAGAGGAGAAGAAAGGGAGAGGGGATAATAGGGAGTGAAAATAATCAAATTATATCATATGCCAAATGGAAACCAATATGGCAAAATGAAACCCATTATTCTGTGTAACTAATATACACTATCAAAAGCTTTAAGTAATATAAAGACTTTAGAAGAAAGAATAGGGATGTATCAGAAAGATTACAACCTCTAATACTCTTCAACTTATTAAATTGACTGACTTTGGAAAATTTACTTAACCTCTTCAAATCTTTTTCTTCATTTGTAAATGGCAAAAGTAAGACTTGGTATGTTAAGAAAACGAATTAACTGCCTGGGAGCAGGACAGTTACCATGTTAATTAAAATATGTAATTGGTCCAAAAATAAAGAAATGAATCAAGATAGGCTTTTTGAAAATAAGATGAAAATTTTAACAAAAAAGCCTCAAGCCAACTGCGGCAGTGTGCATCTGTGGTCCCAACTACTAGAGAGGGTGAGATGGGAGGACTGCTTGAGTATAGGAGTTCAAAACAACCCTGGGAAATATAGCAAAAATCAATCTCAAAAATATTTCTATAAAAAAGAACTTTTAAACCTACTGATATTACATAACTTTACACCATTTTTTATTAATACTGATATGAAGCATTCACATATTAAAAAATGAATGATAAAAACTTTGAAGGTTAATGAACATTTTATAGGTATTTTTGCAAAATTCATTTTTTCAACTGTTAGGAGGCCCTTTCATGTCTTAACTATAACATATACATATATATCATAATATATGTAGGTACCTAGTTTTATAATGTACACAATAATATATTCCATATATTATGTACATAATAGATACAATTATAATAGTTATCATTAACTAATCCTCATTGCCCACAAAGAACTTATTGTCATTAATATTTTATAGTTGAGAAAATGGGGTGCATTCCAAATATTAAATAACCTATACAGAATTACATGTTTTTAAGCAATCCTATCCAATTTCTGTATTTAGTATAACCAGATAGGATTCAAAAATTCACATACACAAATTGACAGCTTAATGACAGATTTCACTTAGCCTATATAATGGGTTTATCTGTTTCTCTCTCCTGCCTATTATACAAACCACAAAAGTAAAGATAGTAAAATGTGCACAGCTGAGTATACTGAACTGATGATGACACATTATCTTTCTAACCAAACCAAGCTCCCTGCTGAGGACAGTACTTTCAGCTGGACATTTGAAAACAAAAGATTAAGGGCAGATAGATGCCAACTGTGACATCCCAATTCCTATTGTTGTTAAATATAATCATAGGCTTTGGTTATGCTTCTAAGCTAATAATTCGTAAATCTCTATTTTCAGGGCTGATCCTGTATGAGCTTCAGATTCAAATGTCTGATTGTTTCCTTAATGTATAGTATTTCTCATCTCAGTTAATTTATTAATTTCCACGCTGAAAAAAAGCACTGTAATTGATCCATCTTTCTTCATGACAACTTGCTAACAAGGTCTATTTTCCATTCTACTTCTTTGAATCCAATCCTTATTCTACATCGGCCCGTCATGGCCCCCCAGATCTCTAAGAAGGCACCTCAAATAGAATCCTTACTCATGAAACTCCACCCCCAAATCTACTCTACCATTAGTTAACTAAAATATACACCCAACCATGTCAATTCTCAAAATCCTTTGAACAACCTGCAATAGATGAAGTCTAATATTTTTAGCAAGGTAAACCAAACCCTTAAGTATCCTGCTCATAGTACAAAAATCAAGCAAATCCCAGTTGTTAATAATAAACCATACTGGGTCAGGGATTTAGCTCAGTGGTTTCACTGCCCATTGCACAAGCGCAAGGACCCGAGTTTGATCCCCAGTACCAAAAAATTAAAAATTAAAAAAAAAAAAAACCCGTACTGCTGGCTTCATTTACCAATTCCTCCTGATTGCGTATGTACTGCATTTACCTTCAACTGTATAAACTGCAAGGCTTTCTAAGTAAGCCACTCCTAAAACTTTTTTTATAACTCCCTTCCTATCTTCCTTTGCATAAAGATATAAAACTTATTACACCAGCTCTCCTGAGACCCCACAGCATTACAAATTTTCTCACACATTCTATTCTTCACTTCCCTTTTAGCATAGTCTATCATATATATAAATAGGTATTCAATGCAAACCTAAATAAACTAAACAAGTGCTATAACAAACATCTTCCGCATTTTTCCTTTCCACTTACAAGGTTAAATGTGGGTTTTACATTTTATGCCTGGATGAATCAGATACTTCAAGCATTAAACATTCTATTATAAGGAAAACATTTTAAAAAGGAAAGGAATGGTTACTCAATAAAAATCCAAACATCTATAGAAAATAAAGCCATAAGTCATTTATAAAGAAAAATGACTCAGAACCACCAAAAAATAGCAGAAAATTAAATTCTCACTAAAAAGATTACATACTTATATTTGAATGTCATGCATGTTATTAAAATAAAACAGAATATAATTAATTATTCAACCAATAAAGTGTCAACTTCAGAAAGATACCTGGTAAATGTCTAAAACATTATGTAAGCACTCAGTGATGCAAGAAATAAATGCATGTAAATATAAAGAAAACAACAATGTATAAACAAGTATGTTTAATGAAGTTGAAGGACTTATGAATGATACCAAAACAATTCAATTTGTAGTGTTTTTTCAAAAATCAAAAAAACAGCAAAGAGCCGAAGATAGCTGAGTGGCACCGCGCCTGCCTTGCAAGCACAAAGTCTTGAGTTCAAACCCCAGGACAAAAAAAAAAAGCAGCAAAAAGGATTAGAAATTGGGTAAAACAGTTCAGTACACAATAGTATCTTTTAAAAAAAATCTGAATCTTTTCTAGTACTGAAAAAGAATGCAATCCTAAAATGATCTGTCTATAAATTATGGCAAATCAGATGTCATTAAATAGCCAGATATTAGAACAGGGTAGGAGAAATTAAACATTAAAAAGCAAATTCTACTTTACATCTTTATACAGGACACCATCTCTGCCTCATCTTCCAACTTTCTACAAAATTTTTTTTTAAAAAGAACATATATACAGAAAAACTGGCTCTTTTTATAAAAGAGTTGCAAGACAAATGGTTCTTTCTGGGCAGTTCTCCAATACTGCTCACCATCATTAGTAACATTTCTTTTTGTAACACTGTTCACACTTTTAAAGAATCATCACTACACCAGGCACAGTAGCAAGCACCTACAGTCGCAGCTATTAGGGAGACTGAGGCAGGAGGATCACTTGAGTATAGGACTTTGAGGCCAGACTGGGCAACATTATGAGACCATGTCTTAAAAAAAAAATAACTCCATCATTGTTTTTGTATCTACTTGTAATTAAAAGAAACGAGCCCTGGGCTGGCGATTTAGCTCAGTGGTGCTGCAGCCTGCCTCGAAAGTGCGAGGTCCTGAGTTTGATCCCTGGTTAAAAAAAAAAAAAGAAAAAGAAAAGAAAGAAAGAAACATGTGTCCTGAGCTACAATTTGTAGAGAATTAAACATGTGCCCTGATCTATAATTTGTACACAATTAAAATTGCATTCTTCCTTGCAAGCACAAGGTCCCGAGTTGAATCCCCAGTACCAAAAAAAAAAAAAAAAAAAAAAAGAATTGCATTCTTATACATACTAGCTATAGCGCTGTACTTTTTTCTGCATATGTAATTTACATATTCGCAATCTTCTATTTCTGAAAATATTATTTACAGATTGGACACTGTGGCATTTGGTCTCACAAACACTAATGGGCACAAAGATGTGATTAACACCAGGCAGCCTGATTTTTTCAAATACGAATCTCCTTTCATAACTTTTGTTACATTTTAATTTCCATGCTCTGTTTTTTATTTTCTGCACACCTATTGGCTCATCTTTTTCTCACCACATATAATATACCCACTAACTATGGCAAATACTAAGTTAAAACTTTCTGCTTAAATAGCTGTTCCCGTTTCGAAGCTTTGAAAAATAGTTATTGGTTATCTATTTTTGTAAATTTACAAGAATGTCATTGTAAAAAATACTAGAATCTTATGTCAAACATTGTTCCTCAATACAGACGATATTCTCATCACACCAGCTTCAAATACACTGTCCGAAACATTTGATTTTACATGCGAATTTCTCCATCTTTTTTTCTTCATATAAAGCTACTATCTGAAATCTTAAAACATTGAATTTTCTTGTTTTAGAACAAGCTCTGTTCACGTTTACATCCAATGTCTAACTACTAAAATGTGACTATTTTCAATGGAGGTCCAGCGCCCCCAGGGCAGCACTTACTACTAATACCGACTGTTTCGTGTTCTGCCTGTGTCTAAGAATCTTCGAGAACGTTGAGGCCACACAAGCGTGTCCGCCATGTTAGTTTTCCTCTCCAGTGGAGCTCTACTCTCTGCCTTTGAAACTTGAGCCACTGTAGTCCTGCGGAGCCAGGGTAATGGCAAACTGCCTTGGGTTTACTTTCCGAGTAGAAAGCGCTCTCAAAGCGCTCTCAAAGCGCTGGCTCGGCAGTGACAAGCGCTTCCCGCTTGAGTGGCGCACCCTGCAGGGACTGACGCCTTTCAGTTGCAGAGCTCAGGGAACACAGGGACTGGAGTCCTGCTGAGAGAGGGGCGAGGGGCAGGCGCGTGGATATTCAAAACCAGTACTTACCAATGCGAGGCGTTGCCTGACTTTTCCTCAGCGGGTTTCAAGACCCTCTGTAGGTTATTGGACATTTTAGAGGGGTGGGGGGCAGTAGATCTAGGACCGTGGGTAGTATATTGCCAGGGTTCTCATACGGGAGAGAACCAAAGCGAGAGAATGTTGGACTGCAGGTGCCAGCAACTATGGAGGCCGCCGGGAGAGCGCCGGAGAGAGCAGGCTGGCTTTCGTGAATTGCGTATCCCCAGCCTTTGAAAACAGGCGGTGCAGTTCTGAGAAACCGGAAGACCTGCGGCAAGACCCCGCCCTCCCAGCTCTGGGGGCCGAAAGAATCCGCCTAAGTCTCCGCCCCACAGAGCTACAGCGCAGCTTCGTAGCCAGCCCCGGCAGGCGGGGGAGGCGTGGCTTAGTGGGACCGCCCTGAGAAGGGCCGGGTCAGCAGTGAAGACAGCCTCGGTCTGGCTCGGCTGCTCCGCCCACCGACGCCGCCAGCAGAGAGCAAAACTCTGCCTGGTCGCTTCCTGGATCCTCACAACCGGTTACAAAGTGACTGGTTCCCTAAGGCTCCGCCCTTATGATGCATTCCAATCACAAATGAAGTTTGTTGTTTCTTCTTCCGGATCAAGGAACTAATCGTGAAATAAGAATCTCTTGCCGCCTACGCAAAGAAAATACTTCCGGGGTCAATGGTAAATTTTCTGCCGTGTTTGCACGCCGCCCAGGTTTTCTTCTCCTCCCAGTGTTACAAAAGACGTCACTGGGCTTTTTGAGATCCTCCTGTACTCGTGGCATGAGAGATTTTAGACGCTGCCTGTGGCTAGCAGTGTATTTTTGATAGTTAAAAACAAGTATCTTTTTTTTTTTTTACTTAAACTTTGCTTCGAGACCTACTACACGTTCCACCTCCTCTATGTTCATGCCTTAGTCAAAATTATCGTTGTCATATAGATGATTCATTCATCCTCTAAGAGTTTCGTTTCACATATAAAATTATTTTTGCCAACTGTGTGTGAATCTTAAAAGAACAGCTTTTCAGAAACCTCTAGAACCCTGCAGCGAAGTCACTAAGTAAGAATCAGTTTCAGTCTCTGGTTATAGGGTAGAAATTGTGTTGAGTTGGAGCTGGAAAGCTGTGTGGGTAGTTTCAAATAGTGTCCAGTTTTATCTGATATAGGCAATGCCTATTTAAGCAGACTCATGCTGTTCAAAGTTTGGTTGATGTAAGGTAGCCAACTGAAGGTTATTTTGGTCTTTTAAAAATGTTATTACTTGGGCTGGAGATTTAGCTCAGTGGTTCTGGTGCCTGCCTTGCAAGGTCCTGAGTTCGATGCTCCTGGAACCCCCTCCAAAAAATGTTGTTACTCATTCCCCTAACTCTTTAATGAGGTAGTATTGATTGAAGAATTCTGTCCTACTGTGTTAACAGGGAGTGATTCTTTCTAACTTATGTTCACTCTATGAAAGGTTATTTCAATTACAAAGCATTTTGTGTCTATAATTTTGTGTCTAGCTTCTATCTCCCATACCAACAAGGGGACAGAGTGGTGAGTCTCTAATGTTTAGTTCTGCTAATCCTGCAATCTCCAAAAGTGAACTAACTTGAAAGAATTGTCCATTCTTGCTTGTTATATTTTATTGCTTACTGTTCATTTCTTATTCTTCTTATTTTTTGCAGTCTGGCTTCTTACATCCATCACCACTCCTAATAAATAAGACTCAGTATCACAACTTGAGTTACTGGGAAGCAGAATCTTCAGATAGACTTTGGTATACAGTAAGCTTGTTAAAGACAAGTTTTCTGTGAATGGAAGGAAAGAAAGAAAAATTTGGCAAAGCGAGAAATAGGATGTGATGTTATTTTCTATTTTTAAAATTTTTTTCCTGTGTTCATGCTTGTAAATAGCTTATGGTAGGTAGCTTTAGCACTAGTATCAAGGCCTCCTTCACAGATGGCTGTTCCTCAGAGATGTCTTGTAGGTGTAGCTGGCTCTTGATCTTTGAATTTGTCCCAAAAGCCTACCTTCCCAAATTACTAGGGATGAGAAGTTGATATTTGGCCCAGCACCAAACTCTTTGGTACTGGCCTGTGGTAATGTTTATGACACCACACAATCATGGTGTTGGCAGACAAGGAAGAACAACTGGTCACTATAGGTATGACATCATGGCTAAAGTAGTACAATTAGCAATAACAATAACAGCAAGCACAGCCTAGAAACTGTCAAACAGTGGTAACTATAAACTTGGTAACTTTAACTATAACAACAAGATTTGTTCTTATAAACAAAATCCAGTACCAACTTACATACAGTGGATTTTAACTTAGTAGAGTGGGGAGTGGGGTTAAGAGGGATAAGGGGAAAAATAAAGAAATAAATGAAGTAAAAAATATTAGAAGCAGGGCTGAAGAGCAGAGGAAGATCACCCAAGCTTTGGGAAGTTGGAAAAGAAGACAGGAGAGACAGAATGAAGGGGAAAGCAAAAGAAGATCAAAGCAAACCAGAAAAACCAAAGACAATGTTCACTCACATGAAAAAAATTCAAAAATAAAGAAGACAATGGAGAAAGAAAAAAACACAACCAAATCAAAGCAAAACAAACAACAAAAATAACCAGTCAAAAAAAAGAAGAAGAAATTTCTTTGACCTGAAGCCTATGGTTATCCTCTGGTGTCCACAGTCCTGTAGTAGTATCTAATTCAAAGCCCCAATCTGTTCTGGGCAACATCAACAAGTCTGTAGTAGGATTAATGCTGAGTGCAGATCAGTGGTGTTAGAGGGGGACACTAACTCTGTTCTTTCAGATCAACAGACTTGCAAGCTGATCTTGGCCTCCACCTGTGGGAGCTGGTGCTTGAGTCTTCAGCTGGCAACACTCTGGATGTCCCTCAGCAACCTGTCCAAGTCTCCTTACCCTGTATGCCTCCATAATGGTTGCTCACCCAGTTGCTGTGGGATTTCAACCCCGGGGGCCCTGAGACAAAGACAGCCCATGGCTGCTATGAGTCTTCTGTTCAGTTGACCCTTCCTAGCCCATGTGCAAACTTTTCTGTTCCACTCCATGGATGTGTCTTTCCTTTCTCATTCCACTGGAGTAGGAGGGGGGAATGTTTTCACTTTGACCCCTCCCCATACTTTCTCTGCAGGTTCCAATTAACTACTTCAGTGTGCAGCATTTACCACTCTAGTCCTCTGATGTGTTTCTCCCTGGAGGGCTCTGGCCTTGCTCACTCTCCATGTGTCCCTGTAGGTTCAATGCTTCTCTCTCATGCCATGAGCTGGGCACAAGAGCCTAATATTGATAACTCCCAACTCAGATGTTGTTTGTTATCACCTCATAGCCTGAGAATAAACCGGGGAACCAACAGAGAGGGAGCAGCTACCTGGTCACTCTCCCCTGGTGTATGCCAGTGAAATATGCTGTCAGGATGCAACATCCTCTGTTGGGAGGATGGCAAAAGAGGAAAGGGGCCATATAACCAAAGTCTATCCTGGGTAGCTTGACTCTGCCATGCTGTTAGGGTTCCATCAGCTCTTTGGAAACTTCCCTGAATGGCGGTTCCTGTGCTGCGTGCAACTGGAGGTCTCACTAGCAGCCCTGTTGGACTGCTTCACCATTTTATAAACTTCTATGCCTGTGTTTTGTTTGATCCTCAAGTCTTGTTTCAGATTGAGTTTGGCATTGGATGTATGTCCCTCCCTTTCTTCCAATTACCTGTACTTTTAGCTTATTTTCTCTATCTGAAATGTGACTCCTCCTCTATTCAGCCATGTTGAATCCATGTTTGCATTGCTTAATTTCCACATATTTGTAAGTTTTCCCATTATTGATTTCAAATTGTGTTACATTATGGTTGAAGAACATACTACCTGTTATTTCTATTCCTACAAATATACTGTTTGCTATATTACCAGTACATATTATATCTTAAAGGATGTTGACTGTGGACTAGAAATGTATCCTATAATTTTTTGTTATTGGCTGGGGTGTTTTATAAGCATACATATCCCCCCTCCATCTCTTTGTGGTCTTCCTATTTGCAAAAGACCCACTTCCTAATTTCCCACTATCTATATTTTATTTTGCTTTTTTTAATATTTTAGGTTTCTCATATAAGAGAAATCATGTGATGTATAAGCTTGTGTGCCTGACATTTTTCACTTAATGTTATGCTCTCAAGGTGCATCCATTGTTCTACAAATGACACAAGTTTATCACAAGTTTATGGCAGAGTAGTACTCCACTGTGTATAAGTATCACATTTTGTTTCCATTCACTTGTTGATAAGTATTATGGCTTGTGTTTAGATGTTCCCCCAAAGCCTGATGCTTTTTCAGAGGTGGCTGAATCTAGACTATATGTTTTATTCATGGTGAGGCTAGGCCAAAGGGCACTAGGATTAAGGGCATGAGTGCTACCTGCCCTAGGTAGTCCGAATAAGATAAAAGGGTCAGAAAGACACTGTTAATTTAAGATCCTGTGTTGCTTTTGGTACTTTGTATACACCGTGTTGTTTTTCTTCTGTGATGCCTGTTTGCCATCCCTGCCTTGGAGCTTGCTGATTATGGACTGAAACCACTACAAACCATAAGCTAAATAAAACTTCCCTCCTTTAACCTGGGGTGTCAGGTGTTTTGTCTCATCAATAAGAGAAAAGTAACTAAGAAATGTGGTACCAGAGAAGTGGGGTTGTTACTGTGACATTAGTTGTCATGTGGCTCAAAATCTTTGGAACTCGCTTGTAGAAAGAGGAAGAGGTAAGAAAGATTCAGAGATGCTGGCTGAAGAAGTAGAGACAGAATGCCTTAGGCTGTTCTGTATGGGAAGTTCTGGTCAGAGCTCAGAAGACCAGAAAGCCAGTAAAGACAGCTCAGGAGGTTTGTGCTTGGAAGTACTGCATTGGCTGTTGGACTCCAGATGATGTGTGTCATGGCTTGGCAGAAATTTGTCTACATTTTGCTCATGTCCAGAGACTGCCCGAGACTGAGTTTAAGGGCAGTGGACTCATTAATTTCACAGAAGGAATTTCAAGGCAGTCTAATGTTAAGGCCATGGCATGACTGCTGTTGGGGTTTGTTTTAGTTAAATCTATGTTGAGAATCAAGAGCAAAGAACCCAGCAGAATGATTTAAAATGTTGTGAGTTTGGCCAGAAAGGAAGCTCCAGTAAAGCTTTAGACTGTAAAGATAGAGCAGAAGAGATCTTGATTGCTGAGAAGCAACAGGATAATAGAAAAGATGGCCTGAGGGCATCACAAGAAGCAGCAAGACTCTACCCTTTGCAGCTTCAAAGTTGCAAAAGTGAAAAACTGCTTTGAGAAGAAAGCCCCAGAGCACTATGTTCCAGAATAGTGGCAGGCTAAAAAATTTGTTCCTTGAGATTGGATTCAGAATGTTCAGTGATTCTGGCACTCAATCCTGACAACCAGCAGAGAAGGAAGACTGGCTACTGCTCCAACTGGCAGCAGACCTTGGTATCATTTGTGTGGCACTGGTTTTAGGTGCATCCAGAATGGAAGAGTTGTGATATCAGGAAGGCTTCCACCCAGATTTGAGAAGAAAGCCTGGGAAACCAGGCAGTGTGCCCCTGAGAAGGCAGTATGTAAATCTGTGTGTGAAACCAA